TTTTTAAGATATATGGATTATACATATCTATATAACTTTTTCCAATTTGTTGCAATGATTTTCTCTAAATAAAGAAACTAGAATAATTTTATATGTAAGTATCAACGCGAAAGATTTCGTAACATTTGACGATAACGTTTTAATCTATCGGAAATAACCGCTACGATTGACGCCAATGGAAGTGCAACTGCAAACGCAGACGAGCTGGTATCCGGTTAAGTCTCACGTGAGTGGCTCTCTCGCTTCTTATGTGAATTCGCATGAATCCTCCTTTTTTTATCGGATATTCTCTTTATAAGACATGCCGAGAAAATACGGATAAGAACAATTGCAAAATTCGATTTAGCTGGAAAGTCACGTCTTTAGGCATTTTCTTCGCGTGGCCTTCTATGCTATTAGAAATTGAAAAGAAAGTGTCGCCGAGCAATCGCGGACTCGCGAGTTGTCATAAGAATTATACAAATGTCTGTTGTCGGGACACCGCGATCTTTCTGGATCTTCGTGCGGAAAAATGATAAATAATTGCACACAATTACGTTTTAAGCCACAAGTTTTCACTCTCACCAATCTGAGCGGGGTGAAGCCCAGGCAGGACTTAGGCCAAAATGGTATGGAGGACATGATTCAGTTGACGTAAGTCTCTACATTGTCACATATTTATTTTTATTAATCGTTACATACCAATGTCAAACAAATTGAATAAATTGCAGAGATCTAAACGAGGCATCATTATTATGGAACTTGAAGATCCGCTACGACAAAGAATTAATTTACGTACGTCGTATATTTACGTTTATTTGTAACTAATGTTAGCAGCTGATTTTAATTATTTACGATGAATTTTTAGACATACACAGGAAGTATCCTAGTGGCAGTGAATCCATATAAAATGTTTGACATTTACGGATTGGATCAAGTGAAACTTTACGAGGGACGGATCCTTGGTACACTACCACCGTTAGTATTAATTTTTTTATCTATTTTTTTAATATTTAGAAACGTTGAGTTATTGAGCAATTCGGATAGTTTGAATATTAAAATCGAACATCGAATAGTTGAAATCTTTCGAACAGAAAATATGTTCGAATAGTTTGAACTGTTTGAAGTCATTCATTATGACACATGTAAAATTAAAAAAAAACTTGTAGAGAACTGATCTTTTATTTCTAATGCGTACTGCAATTCGAATTGTGAAATTTTATATATAATAAATTAACATTAACGATTACTATTTAAATTTAAATTGAATTCCTCAAACTGAAGAGTGTTTGAACTCGATGCTCGTTTTTTGGCTTTGAACTATTCAAACAAATCGATTATACAATATGTTTGAATCTTTTGTCTGAGCCGTATTATTTTCTACAAAATTCTTATACGAATACAATCAGATAAAAAAAAATCGCAAACGTCGATTAAGCCAAAAGATTTAAGTCAAAATTGTTTTATTAATAATAAATGATTTACTTACACTTATCAATTTAACTTGATTCGTTACTTAACGCTTATCTCATTTTTTTACACAAGTAAAAATCAAATAATGTCTAAAAAAAAAAATTGTATATCACTTCTTTTCACAGGCATTTATTCGCCGTGGGCTCTTCCGCATACAGTCAAGTGACTGCAGCCAATAACTCCAGTGCCAATCAAGTCGTCGTCATTTCCGGCGAATCCGGTTCAGGGAAGACGGAATCTACGAAACTGGTGATGCAATATCTCGCGGCCGTCAATCGCGCGCCAAATAATCTTGTCACCGAGCAAATTCTGGAGGCAACGCCACTCCTGGAGAGCTTCGGAAACGCTAAAACGCCACGAAATGACAATAGCAGTCGATTTGGAAAGTACTTGGAGGTTCATTTCAGAGAGTGAGTAATATTGAAGAAAGTGTTAAAAAAAAAAATGTTCAATTAAATAGAAATTTGTCGATTTGTTGATGCCACATCACGCAAATGATGTTTGTATTTTTCAGCGGCGCGATCATAGGCGGTAGAATAACCCAATATCTTCTAGAAAAGAGTAGGATAGTGACTCAAGCTTCGGAGGAGAGAAACTATCACGTGTTCTATGAACTTCTAGCTGGACTCGATCAGCAACTCAGGGATAAATATGGTCTGCTAACACCAGACAAATACTTTTATTTAAATCAGGTGTGTTTGTGCGAGCGATATTATTATAAAATCCTTTTGGCTTAGAAAGAGAACGGACAGAGGAATCATAAAATTATTAATAAATGTTAATTATAATTATAATAATTATAATAATTGTAATTATAATAATTTAAAATAAATTATATGGTTTAATATAAAAGTTTTTTTCACCTTTTTGTTCCAGGGTGGAAATTGTGAGATCGATGGCAAGAGCGACGTGCAAGATTTCAAAGCTCTCTTATCGGCCATGCAGGTTCTCGGTTTTTCATCCGAGGAGCAGGACACGATCTTCAAGATCCTAGCCAGCGTATTGCATCTGGGGAACGTTTACTTTCACCGGAAGCAAATGAGGCACGGTCAGGAAGGCGTGGAGGTCGGTTCCGATGCTGAAATACGCTGGGCGGCGCACCTTCTTCAAGTAAATTCCGATGGCATCATCCGAGCGCTCACTACCAAGACGACAGTAAGTCGTCTTTCATTTTTTCGGAACATCTCCCGCTTCGATTTAATCGTACATCAAAGAAACAATAGATGTTTTGTGAAAGGAAATTTACCCTGTTTTTTTTAAACGTTTTATATACATATTTTAAACGTTTACATTGTTTTGATGTATCATTAAATTAATAAGGCATAAGTCCACTTATTACTCGCAGGAAGCAAGAAACGAGAGAGTCTTCACAGCTTTGAATATCGATCAAGCTCTTGATGCCAGAGACGCTTTTGCAAAAGCTTTGTACAGTTCTCTTTTTTCATGGCTAGTCGCACGTGTCAATCATATTGTCTACAAGGGCACAAAACAGACGGCTGCTATTTCGATTCTTGACATCTTCGGCTTCGAGAACTTTACGGAGAACAGTTTCGAGCAATTGTGCATCAACTATGCAAATGAGAATCTGCAGTTTTATTTTAATAAACATATTTTCAAGCTCGAGCAGCAGGAGTATGCGAAGGAAAAAATCGATTGGACTACCATCAACTATACGGTGAGATTGATAATTAGGGGAAACAATATAATATCGATTCATAACGCAAATTTTTTCACGGAACGTATCAATATAGACGTATAAGCCCCCCTCCCCCCAGACATAATTTGAAATTGTCTATCTGTCTATTTGTCTCAGGATAATTTGCCAGTCATCCATTTAATCGCGAAAAAACCGGTGGGCATTCTTCATCTGCTTGATGACGAGAGCAACTTTCCTAAAGCGACGGATCTTTCTTTCTTGGAGAAATGCCATTACAATCACGCACTAAGTGAGCTGTATTCCAGGCCAAGAATGAATTCCGCTGAATTTGCGATTAGGCATTACGCCGGGCAGGTCTGGTACAACGTAGAGGGGTTTTTAGATAAGAATAGGGATACTTTAAGACCGGATGTAGTCGAATTGCTGATCAGCAGTAAGATTTCGGTAAGTTATCATATTGTCTAGGTTGTCAGGCTGAAAGAATAGCAATATACAATTACACGGTGATAATTACAGATGGTTAGCAAGATGTTCCAGCACGTCAGAACCACTCACGAAGCTAATAAAACTATGAACAAACCAAATGGCAGATTTGTCACTATGAAGCCGAGAACTCCAACTGTGTCGGCTCGATTTCACGATAGTCTTCAGCAACTTTTAGAATCCATGTCTCAGTGAGCTCTCCAAAAAATTTAAATGATAAATCTGTATAAATTGCGTGTGATTGTGTTAAACACTGGCGAAAGCTATTAATTATTAAAAAAAAGAAAAGTTTTTAAATAATTTAGATAAATTATAAAAATATTATAATATTTAAAAGAATCTTTCTTTAAAAGATGAAGATGACATTTTCATCAATTTTTTTTAAATATTGATAATTTTAAATATTAAAGTTTTAATATATTAAATATTAAATATTAAAGTTTTCATTTCCTTTTTTGTCGCATTTGTAGATGTAATCCGTGGTTTGTTCGTTGCATCAAACCAAATACCGAGAAGGCGCCGATGAAATTCGACATGCCATGTGTGCTCGAGCAGTTGAGATATACGGGAATGCTGGAGACGATACGCATCAGGAAAACCGGCTACCCGGTTCGCCTTCTGTTCGGACATTTTGTAGATCGGTATCGTTATCTTGTTTCGACGCACTTGCCTAGAGGAGCGCCCAACAAGGAGCTCTGTAGAATAATTTTGGATAAAGCGGCTCCAAAAGAAGCGCAGTCGCAATATCAGCTCGGTCTTACACGAGTATTCTTACGCGAATCATTGGAAAGAGCCTTGGAATACAACAGAGCGTTGATTCTAGAGAGAGCGGCCATCACAGTCCAAAGGTACGTGTCAAATTATGCAAAGAAGAAAAAAAAAAAACAAAAACAAAAATTAACAGAAAGAATAATTATTATATTTCTAATTTTATATATATATATATATGAACACACACATGTATAAAATTTTTCATAATTCTTTAATATCTCGCAGAAATCAATTCTTTTCAATTTATTTCACCTATACCTATTTCTTAGTGCTAATAGTGAAATTAATGTGAATCAGACGTGTGAATCTTTCCCGGATGTCGCGATAACGGTTTCTCTTATAGATACACGAGGGGCTTCTTAGCGCGCAGGAGATTCCTCAACATTTCTCGAAGCACAGTACTGATACAAACGGTGTACCGCGGTTACCGTGAACGTAAGCAGTTCCGGGCAATGAAGAAGGGTGTCCTGATGGCGCAGAAACTTTACAGAGGAAGGAAGCAACGGCAGATATTTAAAGTGTTGAAGGAGGAGATGGCGAAGCGAGCAGAGATCGAGAGAGCCAGCAAGGAACGAGCGAAGGCGAAACAGCAACGAGAGGAGCAGGAAAGGACTTTGCGAGCTGTTGCTGGTGTAAATCACTTGGAGATTCCCGCAGAACTAGCCTTTATTTATAGTAAACTTGATGGTATGTTATTATTCTTAGTGGAATAAATATTTAAATAACATTAAATAAAATTTATATAAATATTTTGTCTTTCATATTTTTGAAATTTCTGTTTTCTTTTTTTTCTTTTTTTTTTTTCAACTTTCCAGATTGGCAACCAACACACACCGAGCGGAATCTTCTCAAAGTTGTCGGTCAAGTCATTCCAATGAATTATACCTATAATCTGCCATCCGACATCGATCAGTACCAATTCTCGAAGTTTACCAATATTTATTTCAAAAGCCATATCTTTGGGATGAAGCGCGAACCGATCAAGACGCCATTTCTGGCGAAAGCTCGCGATCAGGATTACACGGATTCCCTGATGATCTTCAAGATGATATTGCGCTTCATGAACGAGAGTAATCTTAATGGTAAACGTGAACAAGCGTTGGGCGACTATATTGTTAACAAAGGGATTGTCAATGAGAAACTGCGCGACGAAATACTATGTCAGCTGGCGAATCAAACTTGGAAGAATGAGAACGACGCTAACAAAGAAAGAGGATGGTTGTTGCTCTCTAATTGCTTGTCAGCGTTTCAACCTAGTGCCACGCTTTTCAAATATCTTTTGAAGTAAGTGTTTTTGCTTACACCGTTGTTACAATTGTCTCTAATTAATATATTCCTTAATTATCAGATACGTCTCCGATCACGCCTACGATGGTTACAAGGCCTACTGCCAACGCAAACTGTTGCAAGGCGAGAGGACCGTGTATCGTGTGATGAATAATAATCAGCAAACGGTCCATCAGGTACCCAGAAATTATCCGCCATGCGTCCTAGAATGGCGAGCTAACAGGAATCGCGTAAATATGGCGCTCAGTGTTGGCTTCTATGACGGCGAGTAGCGTTTTGGATTCTGTTTAAAAATAAATGAGTAATGTAAATTCTATTGTAATAGAGCGAAACTTTTCGTTTTTTTTAGGCGAAACAACTACATGCGCGATGGATTCTTGGACGACGTGTGAAGAATTGGCTAATCTCGCAGTTCGGAACCATGGAGTAGAGAATTCTGGTTGGACTATCACGCTCTGGAACCATCAATTGGACGGCCCGGACGCCATCGTGACGGAGACCAATGGCTTTGACTATATTTTGGACTTGATCTCGGAAATGGAATTGGCACCAGCTTTCCCCGCCGCCAAGCACATGTTCTTGGAACAACGCAAGAACAGTTTGCCACCCATTAAAAAACGAGAAGTAAGAAAATTTCCATATTGATATCTCTCTAAGATAAAAATCTTATATGGAATGATATACCCAAAAGAATTGTAGAAGTGAAGAAATAATTGCTGTTAAATCGCGACGCTTTAGTATTGAAAAATAATGTTTTTCCTCAGCACGCTCAAGTCATTCGGGAGTTGGAACAGGAGATGGAAATTCCTATTCTAAAAACTTTCCAACCTTTGGAAAGGAAATCTATGCCAAAAATAGTTGACAAGCTTGTCGAGCCGGAAATTCAAGTACCCAGGCGGCCAGTAGTGCCTCCACCGCAACCACCCGTCACAAAACTACCTGTATGTATTATTTTAACCTTATGCTTTCTTATAAGTAAAAAAAGAATCAAATTAATATTCGTGGGAATGCATATAGTTTTTTTTTTTTTTTTTTTAATTAAATAATGTCCAATAATTCACATTTTTCATAAAATTGTGTGCAAACTAAAAGAATAAGAAATACGTTTCCATCAAAAAAGTAATTGTATATTTTTATTGAAAAATGTTGTAAGATAGATTTATTTTGAATCAATCAATTTGTTTACATTACTTCTATTTATTTATTTTTTTTTTAATTTCACGTTTAATAAATTAATCAATTCTTTATTAAATCTTTGGAAACACGATACATTATATGCAGATACGAAAGCAATCGCATGAGGTCATTTTGGAAACCACAACGGAAATGGGCTTGTCGAGGAAATCTGCCTTAAATGATCGTTACTTCGAGAAGGAGAAGCAACGTAGCCGAAGTTTGGATAATCTTCTTCAGTCAGAAATCGTGCCTTCACCGGTAAAACTCGCCAATCTCGGGCTATCTTCATCGAAATTGAACGAGCGATATCATAGTCTAGAAAGAATTGGTGAGACTCCGACCGTTGGTAACGTTGAATACATGTCGCGTACCGAAATAGCACAGGAGAGGAAGTATAGCAGAGCCACAAGGACGACGGAGCCCAACATTGAGGAGGAAGATCTCACGATTGATTTTGAATATCCGGATATTCAATCCGTTAGTCAAACCGGAAGATCAGAGGATGATAAAAGCTATATAAGGTCGCAAACCAGGTTTATTAAGTCGCAATACCCTGGTAAATATTTAATGCCAAAATTTTTTTAATTTTTCAAAGAATTTTTCAAGACTAGTAGTTCAAATTTCAATAAGTCACGACGCCAACAACAAATTTGTCCTTTATTCTCGTTATTTATTTAATTCACTCTTGCGTAAGATGTATTTTACTTCAAGAATGTCTATCGCAGAGAAAGTTGGCAATTATGCAACTCTGTTTTTTCCGTTTTATCGATCGCGTTTTATCGATTATTCCTCTCACGTTTTCAGGCAAACGCGCGCTGCCAGGAAGCCAGTCTAGTCGCGCTTATATCGAGAAAAGTGAATACGGAGTAAAATCGTCTGCCATGTCTGACACCAGCGAGGCACCTTCTTTGGCATCGCACGTGCGACGCGTGAGGGTACCCAGCCAAGCTTCCGATGTGGACCAATTCCTAGATGAGCTCTTTATGCCCGTACTGGATGGTAATCTCGACGAATTATCAGACGCTCGCAGTTTGGCCGCCTCGATAAAAGGATCATACGATACCGGACCATCTGGCGATCAAATGGTTCTCAAAAATTTGCTAAAACTCGATAATCAAACCAACAAATTAGCCACGGTTGATGATTTCGTCGAATGGATGATGGTGGAAAATAAAAACGCGGATATTAGTGCGGATGAACTGTCAAAAAAGATCAAAGGAGGTGGCAATATGGATATCCCTAATCAGAATGCGGCCTTCAACTTCAGTCCTATCGCACAGAGCATGATGTCACCACCTATGATGATGCCTATGTTCAGTCCTCCTCAGCAAGTTCCATCCGCGCAAAATACCAGCATGAGCATGGGCGCGAATTTCATGCCCATCCCGATTTACAGCATGCAGGGACTTAGCTTACCACAATATCCGAGTTCGCCACCCGGTCAGAACAACGACATGATGGCATATCAACAAAATCTCCAGCGTGCCTTCCTGCAGAGTGCGATGGCGCAAAATATTCAAATACAGCAGCAGCTGTTGGCACAAAATCAAGCTTTGCAACAATTGCTGGTTCAGAGTCCGCAAAATTCGGCACAGCAACCGGTAAGAAATTATAGCAGATAGAAAAAATAAAAAGTGTACAGAAAGTCTAATATTCAAGGTTTATATGATTTAACAGAATAATTAACGGATTGATCTCTTTATTGCGATTCAAGTCAAATTAAATAGTACGTAATAATAATGAAAAGAGTTTTGATCTTCCAAACACGTAATTTTTCAAATATTTTGGATATTTTTTTTTGTTTGAACAGATAAAAGTCTGATTGAAATAATCAGACTTGAGCATTGAATCACAATAAATAGATCACAGGCAAGCGTTGCATGTGATCAAGCACAATCGCGAGAGATTCACCGCTGTCGTCGCGGCTCTGATAATCACGTTTCATGGTCACTTAACTATCATAATTAATTTGATAATTCATCATCGGTAACCAAAACCGGCGACGATACACGCGCTTAAATAAAAGCTAACTCTTAACGGAAGTGTCGTCATTCTGGGCGATCCTATCTGGGTTTCTGAGCCGCGTCGCGGCATGGGGTGTGTGTTTCCAGAGCACGGCGTTACCCGGCCCCTCAAGCATGAATCTTGATCCCTCAGCCCCCCCAAACGGTGCCCATATGGGTCCCAATGATTCTATCGGACGCTACTCCAAGGTATCTACTGATTTTAACTAACCTACGCTTTATCTTATGGCTTTCCAACGGCTACGGAAATATCGTGTACATATCGTCTAGCAGAAACCAAGGAAGATATTCGGAATTAGGACCAATCCTGATCGGATAATATTTTATTCACCGAATCATTATGGCTTTCTTCCGAATAAGTTTTCCTATCTCTTGAATCAATCATCGTGTGAATCTCATCGCTGTATATAATTTTCCCAACCAAGAAACCTACATCAAATCTATTTTCGATTAGGTCTCATTCAGAGAACCCGAGGATGGCGAATTATGGTCAACCGAAAAACGAGAAACATCCGTGCTGTCCACATCGACGCCAATGAATCAGCGTCAAGAAACAATGACAGTGAAGGCTCAAATTCATCGGTCCCAGAGTCCATCTAGAAAGAATTCCGAAGCCATTAGAAAGACGAGCGTCGATTACGCGCGAAAACTCAGTATGGATCGGAAGGTGACAGATAGGAAAGCGTCATCAACGCAGGCGGAAGTGAAAAGGCCTAATCTAAATAAGAATAATATACAGAGCAACTTTACCAATGTGCTCAGTGAGCTGAAAAATAGAAAGAGTAGCGTGGACAGCAATCCTTCAAGTTCCAGCAATAACAAAGGTGTTCCACCACCGCCGCCGATGCCGCCGCCTTTGGAGTCTCACGATCCTTCCGAATCCAGACCGTTTCTCGACCCGTACGGCAGGGCAAAGACAGTGCGCATCGGAAAGTGGAGGTAAATCCAAAGTTAAACAAATTAGTGATATATTATTAATTCAGGCAACTAATTCTCTATATTTTCATGTTTTTTATTTTAGATGGCCACCGCCCAGCGACTCGAATGAGACTCAAGGACAGGATAGTTTTATAGAATTCAAGATGCGCCAGCAACAACAGCAACGCAAGTTAACGCCGCAGTATCAGGAGTACGACCAAGGTGAGAGCGAAGTTACGACAGAAGGTGGCGTTGAATGGGAAGAATTCGAAATTGAAAATATTGTCAGCAACGAAGATCGGTCTTTAGTTATGCATCCGTCAGCGACTACGGCGAAACACGAGAATGGATACAAAGAAGAAGGGGAGAAGAAAAAGAAGAAATCAAAGTATAATTGACATTATATTATTTGTTCTGTATTTATACTGTATTTTAAACATATACGACAATACAAGCTGTCGGATTTTTTCACAGGTCAGCTTTAGAAGTGGGCGCGCAAAGACCATCGCCAGGAAGTATAGGAAAGTTGAAGCTCAGCTCGGAGATGAGACAGAGATTGGAAAAGGTAACCGCAAATCATAGCGTAAGATCTACGAAAACGGCTGAAAAACCTGCTCTTCCGCGAGAAGATGGGAAAATTAAGCGATTAGAGGATAATAGAAAACTTTTGCTGGAGCAACAACTGGGTAATCAGATTTTTCTTCGTGCATTAAGAGTTAAGCATATCAGAATTAAGGATAGAAATATATGCTTAACTACTTGAAAAAAAAATCAAATTTTAAGGTGGCAGATGGGATGATTACGCTTCCACTGTAGATGACACTCAAAGCGTCACTTCCAAGGGCACGACCGATATGATGACGCAAGCTCAGGTAGTAAGAACACAGATCGAGAGAATGGAACGACCTGTACCGCCTCCACCGCCCGTCACACCGCCACAGCCTCCCAGTCCAAGAGGTGGCAGTGTTTATAGTAACAGGTAAAACTATGCAAATTAAGTTAAATTATCGGAGATTAATCAAAATAAGATTCGTTAAATTTTGGAAAAATCAGAGTAAATTAAAAAAGTATAAAAAGATTTTCAAACAGAAATGTATGTATTTCTCGGCAAGATAAAATCTAATCTCTAATAATATCTTTTTTTTATTTTTTTAGATTTGTATAAATTCAAGAATAATTGTTTTTACCTTTCAACACTTGAAATATAGCAACTCAAAATCAAAATTATATCTTTTCCCCTGATCAATTTTAATCATATATTATAAATTAATCTCCCTTTTTGAGAAATGTTTTTTTAAAGATTTTGTCACATTACATTCCATTAAATAACAAAATTAATGAATGATTTGCTTCTTCCCAGTCAATCCGGCGTACCTCGGCCACGATCACCGCCAGCACCGATCGAACCAAAAACTCGCGACTCTTTCCGCACATCTCCGGATTCCGAAGCCTATGATCATTTCCCGAAGAATCAGATGTTTAGCCAGAGCCGTGATATCTTCGCCTCACAGCAGCATTTACGCGATGGCCACGACTACAGGAACGACTTTGATAAGGCTCGCGTGCAGGATGCCAAATCCAAAGACTTCTATGGCAAAGACAGTACTGATCTGGCGAGTTCGGCGCGCGATCGCAATTCTGATTTTGATTCACGCCGCGATCTTAGCTCCGAGCTCTTCGACTCCAAGTACGCGTTCGATGGATCGACTGGGAAGCGCGATCCCTTCGGTATAACGCGAGATGTCTCACCCAAATCCCGGGACAGCTTCGGGATGCCATCACCACGTGACTTTGGCGTGATCCCGAACACAAGGGACTCTTTCACTGTCGCGCGGCAAAGCTTCAACAAGCTAGATCGCGAGGTGGACAGGCGTTCAAGCGTAGCTTCGACCCACCGTACCGACAAGATGGAGCGAATCGAGATCGAGGAGTGGCCGGAGTTCCTCAAGCCAGTATTACCACCAGCGGACAAGCCGGAGATTGAAAAAGTCCAGGAGGTGGTGAATACTAAACTCTACCCGCAGACTTCCAACGCGCATTTCACCTATAACAGAGTTACATGGACTCTAAGAGTTAAAAAAGAGGTTTTCGCACCCAACGAAACCCTGAACAGTCCATTGGCGTTGCATCTGGTGTTCTGCCAGGTAGCCTACGATGTGCTGGCAACCTCTAGTATAAGAATTACCAAGGAGGATCGGCAAAACATGTTAAAGATGCTAGACAATTATGGCGTCACATTGGATAATCTTCAGAGCACGCAGCATAAGATTACGATCAAGAAGAACATCGTGGACATGGCGAAGCAATGGCCATTATACTTTGCTCGGATATTTCCCGTATCGGTAAGTTTACGCATTTCCTTAATATCTAGACTAATAGACAAAAACATTGTTTTCTTCTTTGTTGTCTGGGAAATATCGACTGAAGAAAAAAACTGTTTAATTGATTATTTTATCATTATTTTCGATAACCTTTAATTGAACCCTTGCCGCAGATTGGTCCCCAACATCCCGAGACACAACATGTGGCGGTGTCGCATCATGGACTTCGATTGATCAAACGCACGCTGAGTGGCGACCTGATCATTCTGGAGACCCTGCCACTGGAGGACATCGTCTCTGTGAATTCGTCCAGGTCCGGTGTGTGTGTACTACAGATCGCGTCGGGGGTTCGGCTACCTCTACACACGAACCGTGCTCCGCAGTTGGCGGAGATGATCGGTAGATACATCAGACTGGTGAGTGCGGCCTTGTCTTTTCTGCGGATACGCGAAAACCGTCCGCGCGCATTCGTCCACGACCAATTAGCGATGGTCGACCGCGGAAACGATAACGGCACACATCATGTACACCACGCAACTTGGCCAACGAGGCAGCTACGGGCAACGCCTAGTGTAAATTGCGTTTCCAGTGAGCGGTCATATATGCTGGCTAATGCCTCCTTCTCGATCTCTTTTTATTCTTTTTCCGCCATCGGAGAAACGTCAGCATCAGCGATCCATCACCGACGACCGTGTTCGATACTTCTATTCTTTTTCGCTTCTTCATCGATCGATCGAAGTTAGTACTTGATGTCGACATCTCGCGAGAATGCCGCCGTCGGGAATTTCCCGCGAACCGGCTTTTCTACTGCCGATAGAATATTCTTCGCCATCGCCACTAACTTTTAATAAAAAAAAAAAAAAAAAGAAAGATTTTTCAATTTTTCAAACGATTCTTCTTGCTCTTTCGTCTTTTCATACGATTCAAGTGTGTAGATAATCGCGCTAAAAAGTAATATATCCATATCTCTAGATATCTTCGGATCGAGTCTCCGTTCTCGGTGAATCATTAAGACCGCGAGATGCGGAATGGTTTTTCACGCGAATGAGAGAGCGCGGGAGAAAGAGGAGGAAGGAGGGAGACTCGTCCTGTGCAAACGGAGAGATCGTATTTCTTATAACACGCGCTATGTCTGTTCACCAGATACACCTGCATGCATCGTCGCCGCACGCGATTCGAGAAACGGTCGTTCAGCGTGACGGATAGTACGAATAGGAGATGGCTGAATGCAAAGAAAATTCTCTTGCTAAAGATTCTTTTGCTACTCAGATTCTTCGATATATGTATATATATGCCAATATATTTTAATAAGATTTCGCTTCTCAATTTCGCAAACACATATATATTCTTTCGGAGAAGGAGAAAGTAGAAGACGCATGAGAAATAATTGTCGAATAATCAAATTTTCGATGCGTGTTAATTTAATGCTCATTAGCGATTTGTTATAATGTCGCACATGTCGTGCGATTGTGTTTCGATATTAAAAATCAAAACTGTAATATGTCAATCATGAGTGAGATAGCTTAGAAATATACGGGTTCGTATTCGCAATTCTTTTACATCGAGTTTCCAATGCTATCTCACTTTCACGTTGTGTCATTGACAATCGAATAATTTCTTGCCGCATCAAATCCGATTGAGGTATTTTTTTTATCGAGATAATTGTACGAATAAACGACCTTTACCAAGGTATGTGCGCAATTTCGAATTCCATTATGGATTACATAACGGTAAAAAGAAACGAGCCACGTAATCGCGCAAGTGCGTGAAACGTTAGAAGATGAGCGAATGTTCTTTCGCGGCGTTTATAATCAAAGATACGGAATGGTGTCAAAGGATCGAAACGGAGAAATGCGGCGAATCGTTTATAAAAATACGTGATTCAGTAGTCATGAAAATGTCGCGCAACGAGCAAGCCAAACAGCAGTCGTAGAAAGTCAGTTTTAATTAGTCACATAGTTCTATTGTCCAATGCATTTCTTCAGAAGAGCCTTTACATTACAAAGAAATGATATTTCATTATACTTTAATATCTCTCTTTAATTTTAATTAGTACAGTTTTCACATAAAATGAAGAGTATTAAATATGAGATTTTATATATATATATATATATATAATATTTTACAAGTAAGCAAATATACGATAAAAATAGTTTTTAATTTTGCGAGAAAAAGTTGGACCGGCTAATAATTTCTTAATTGTTAAATAGCATAGCCGCTACAACTTTCTGTATTTCTTTTACTTACGAACATGACAGAAATAAATAGCAGTAAAAAAAGGAGAGCAGATACTCGGATTTCTTTCGAGTGATTCCGAGTTCAAGCAACTCGTATTTACTGGAGGCGGCAAGTTGGCTCGCCTCACGCCAACTCGGACACCGGAAGTGATTTGAATTGCTAATGCGAAACGGTGCTCATTATTTCTTTCTGCCACGTTGCCCCAAATCTCCTTCGCGCCCTTAGTTCTTAAATCAATTTGCATTCTTTAGCAAGCAAAAGTATAAAAATTTCAAAATATCTTGTACGAGTTTTTATACGATTGACAAGTTCTTCTTTTGAAGCCTATTAGAAAAGCGACTGCAACTATAATATATAAAAAGCATGTTTCGTAATATATTTTTCCGGTCTTACATACGCCATTTTGCGAGATAAACGTTCCGTTATGTCACTATTCCGTATTAAATATATAATTGACATGTAAGTCTATAAATTTAATCAGAACTTGTTGAAGAAAACGTTGATTTTTTTATTCGCGAACGAAGAAATTAATTTCCGTTTAATTAACATAACATACAATTTTTCGAAATAATATTTTTCAAAATATTAATAATTATTTACGTTACATATAACATTAACAGACGTAATCTTCGAAGATAATCTTTAGTCGCACTTTATTATACGATTAAGTCTTAGTACACTCTTTTAATTTGTTTTATTGGAAAAATATAAAAATCTTTATATAACAGAGAATGATTAAATTAAAAGTATTTCGTACAGGATGGAGAAATCCTACGGATTAAAGTTCAGTATAATCGTGCATCATCTTTACCGAGTCGATTATCCAATGAAATGTCTCGAACCCAGGGAACACCTTTCATTAAAGTAATAGGCATCGTGTTGCAAGCGCGCAAAGTGGAGGACAATAATTTCAATTTCATTGCCTCGCGCGCATTCCGTGCATTCGCCACGTGACATCTCGGCGGCTAGAATTGCGGAACAAAAGAGCACGTAAAATAGAAAACGTAAGATCGGAAAGTGTTTTCCCGCGTTCGCTGTCGTTCAACCGGTCTCTCTCTCTTTCTCTAATTCCGCACGAAGGAGAAAAAAAAGAAACAGATCTCGCGACACAATCCGGATCACGGAAAATATCTTTCGCCTCTCGGCGCAAGAAAAATGTCGCTCCGCAGATACGGGCGGTAGAAAGAACACAGAGTGAGAAAGTGCCGTTTCTCCAAGACGGAAATCGGTTTGAGTTTCTCGACATGAATGAAAGTTCCCGAAAATTGAAGCTTTCTTTGAAATCACGTGAAATAAAAATGTAATCACTTTCGTAGAACGATAGAAGAGATCATTATCCGGACAAGACTTCTTTTTAATTCTCTAATTTTTTATAATTCAAATTCTTTTTATTTCGCACTTGAAAAAAATTTTACGTAACATGTAACTAGTAATTACTCGTTGATTAAGTAATATAGACTAATAATTATAATTTTCAATTTTTTAATATTTTTTTATACTTTTTACTTTATAAATATTTTATTATAAAAATCAGATTTCTGATATAATATTCTTGATTTCTTTTCATTATAAAAATCAGACTATCTTGTTATCAAGGAATGATACAACAGTAAAAAGTGTTAAAATTATAGTAAAAAGAAATAAGACTAAAAAATATATATATTTGGATAAGTGAATTCAAAATTACATGGCATTATAGAGAGTCAGAAAATGGAGATTTATAAAATAAATAGAAAATTTACAAAATTTACAAAAATGAATTTAACTTATAAATCTAATTCTATTATTTTATTTACAAAATTTATTTATTTGTACATTACATGAAAGGATTAAATTGAATCGGCATGTTTACGTGTTATTTATCATAAAAGAATCATGAAAAGAATTACAACGAAAATATTTGAAGCATTAGGAAGCACTGGATGCTCGTTGAGTCACGTACTTAAGGACTAAGGGCGACTGGATTTTAAGGGCCCTAAGGATAATCGGTCGTTTCCGTTAGCGGCAGGTGCATCGACCGTACAACCGTGTGAACTCCGAAAGCCGTTTTTCGCGGGACTTCAAAAACCCCGGTCTTGCTCTTTAAATAGACGGGAAAAACTGAAACCGCGCGTATCGCGCACTGGTAGGCGTGGGATCGAAGATTTTGCGACGGATCTCATCGAGGCGCAAATCATAATAATCTCGTGTAACGAGCTATCGCTTCCGAGCTATCTCTTTCCTCCCTCTTCCGGTTCCGATTTCTATTTCATTGCCATGCTCGCGACGCGCATTGTCGTCGCGTGGAATCGCTCTGCTACAGACGCTATACAAAGGATTTCTTTCTATCCGTGGAGATATTTTTTTTTTACTGACTTAAACTTTGAATTATTCTTCAGAAGAGAAACATGCTAGCGGTTCTGGAATTATTAATAAAGAACTTATCGCGAAAGAACATAAAACTCCAAAAGCGCCGAAGTTTAAACGTACTTAGTAATATTGAGAATCGCTCAAAAACGCTCGATATCGTTGAATATTAAAAAGTCCCGAGAAAGGAAGATAATAACAGGCACGGAGAATCTGGGATGTGTATCTGCGAGTGTTTTCACTTTATCAGTATTTTCTTTTTTTTTTTTTAATTTCGCTCCGCCAACGAGAAGCAAAAGGACCGCCGCATTTAAATAGATTATTTTTTTTTTTTTTTTGACCTACTCGACGACTTTATCTGCGGGTGGTCTGCGGGTGTCCTGGCATTTAATCGAGGAGGACAGCCCCGGCGGACAGAGCAAACGCTCTTCTCGGCGCGTATCTCGCTCGACAATCGGAAACGTACTCGTTCCGATCGAACAAGATCGAACGGTATAAAGAGGTTGCCTCTCCGGTAAGAGGCGGCGCAGCATGATTTTCCATCGCTTAGCGTATGCGCCACGCATACCACGGGGGGGGAGGGGGGAAACGTAGTGGGGCCCGACCCAGATATCCGTCTTCCGAAGGGGCATCGGCTAGCAGAATACAGCCAGCCAGGTACCTTGGAATCGGAAGCCGCGGCTCCTCAGTTCATCGACTGCCGCCGTGCCGTCTAGGTGTAGCGTGCCGCCACGCTCGCGTATTCGTATTATTATGCGCTTATCACACGGCAGAATTCTCAAAGGGGGCCGAAACTCGGTACCTGGAGGGTAACTTGCCCGATTCAAATTTG